ATCCTAACAATATACGTGTGTGTGTTAGAGAGGAGAAGTCTCTAATCTATGCTCCATTTATTCGGGCACTAATGAGGAGGTGTATCATGCCAGGTACATTGCTTAGTATCGTATTGCAGTCTCTAAGCCTTTTGCTAATTGGAACCTGCGTGCTCCTAATCCATATGCGCCTCCCAAGAAGGGGCGCCACCCCAAGGCCAGAGGATAGTGCCACTTATACTACTGGGTGCTGTTCCACCACTCATATTCTATGTGGGAAATCTCCCATGTGTCTGCTCAGATAGTTTTCACTAGGGAGGTGAAGAAGTCGTTGTTCAAGTATATTGGGAATCTCTTCAAGATGTGCCAGTCCATTCATAGCTGTTAGATCAATGACATCAACAGAGGCAAGATGTACAAGCGCCACAAGAAGACGGATTCGCCAGCTGCAGGGATGCACACTAAGCCAGGTTCCGTGGACAAGGACAGTGTGGCCACCACATGGTCCAACCCGCTGGAGGGTCGGTGTTTTGATGATGATGATGATGATGCTTCGAGCACCCCACCGCTTGTCTAGTTTTCTCTAGTGTCACCTTTTCCCTTTTTAGCATCTTCATGACAAAGAGGGAGAAGAGTTCTATTTAGGATCATCTGTAGTTGAGATCACAAGCCTTGTTCTTATTGGTCGTGTTTCTATTGGTTAGGACATTTTTACTATTCCATCATGTGGTGTGAACTAGTTCTTATTTATGTGTGTGAGACCTGGTTTTCTTATTAAGTTATGAGTCTATGCTTTGCTTAACTTCCATATGATGTCATATGTCATATCTATTTATCCTTGTCTCACATTATGTTTTGCTCACCACACCTCTTGCATGTGATCTAAGCACCATTCTTTTTCTTGTTTGATCACATGTCAACCTTTTCTGCAATGAATTCTTTAGTTGGTGCTATTCTCACACATCGCTAGACATTTCTATTGATCTATGGGGAGCATTCTATGCATGTGCTTGTGGCATAATGAAGCAAATTCGTATCTTTTTGCACACACCTGGGGGAGCTCTTTTGATCAATAATTTTTCATGGCTTGTCTTATTGATTATACCTTTTGCCATGCTCTAACCATAGTGTCATCAATACACCAAAAAGGGGGAGATTGAAAGTGCATTTTGCACTTAATGGTATTTTGGTGTGATGGCATTATGGTTAATGGACCTAATAACAGTTGCTAAGGTTTATCTCAGGTTATTGGTTCCTTGTAAGTTTATCGTGGATATGGTTGACTCCCCTCTTGAAAAAGACCAAATGCGTGTTTTTCTGGCAACTCGAAGGTTTTTCGTTTCGGTTTGATTTGAGTCATAGGACCGCACTATTAAGAGGTGTCAAGGCGGATGAATTTGGTGTGGGAACACTGGAACACTCTAACATATACACTAGCCCACCTGCACCTACCACAAGGAAGTACCAATCCATCCATTTATTTAGTGATGGTGTGGAGTGTCCATATAGCCATGTGCCCAAAGTAGCAGGACACCCCATGCGCATGGTGTAGTGGTTTTCTCTATGGACAACCAATGCGCCTGGGTTCCATGACCCCCATGCGCATGGTGTTGAAGACCCCATGCGTACGAGGTGTCCAGTAGGTCACGCGCTACCCTGCGTGCAAGGAGTACTTTTTTGCTTTCTGGACACCTCGTGCGCATGGGGCTGATTAAGCCCATGCACACGGGGTCCAGCGGGCAGAATAGCCTCCCCCACCTTTCATTATAAAAGGAGATCTTCCACCTCTAACCATAACCCTTTTCCTTGTTGAGATCCACCATTGCCAAATCTTGATTTGCTTGTTCCTCTCAACCCCCTCACTCAAACTTGTTAAAACTTTGGGGATTGAGGCAAGGCCCGATGTACACTTTGGCCAAATTAATTCATGTTCCCCACAAGATTTATTCACCATTGACTTATTACTCTTGGAGATTGGGATCTTAGGTGGTTAGGGTTCCTCCAGAGGCGTCCTTGCTTGTGGTGTGCTCTGAAATGCATGTAAATGTGTGGTGGTCACTTTCGAGATCAACCTAAGTGATTTGAGGCTCATCCATTGGGGGTGAATCAAGGAGAATACGGTGAGCCTCCCATGGCATTCCAGAAGCCTTGGCTTCGGCACTGCTCAAATGTAGATTAGCACTTCCCCAAGGAAGTGTGAATTTGGGGACAAAATCCGCGTCATGTACTCACTTGTGGTTAATCCTTTCCTGCACTTTAATTCTCCTTGTATGCTCGTGGGGTTTATAATTATGTTGTTGCCTAGCTTACTTTGCTTTGACCTTGATTGCCATATAGGATTGTTCATCTAGTTGCATATCCAGAGAATTCTATTAATCTATTTTTCCCTAAAATCGACAACTTAGCTTAAAATGTGTAGTCTCCAATTCACCACCTCTAGTCGACTATATCGATCCTTTTACCAGGCTTCTCCCAGCCGTCCACTTGCGGCATCACCTGGGATGGCTCCTCCACCCTATGTGGCACAATGCCTCCCAAGGACCAGCGGGAGGATCCAGGTCACTCTGAGAGGCCTAGACTAGAGACCACCGGATGCTGACGTGGAAAGGCTGAAGAAATCGATGCTAGCCTGGCCGAACTAGAGGCCATGGCAACCAAGGGGGGATCGAAGGTAGACATACTTGGTGTTTCTTAAAAAAAGGACTGCAATATCTGGCGGACATCAGATCAGAAGGCACCCACCAGCAAACAACTCGTTCGATAGGACATGGACGATCGAGCAAATCTTTTTAGTTTGCTACAGGAGTGTTTCTGTGCGACCCCCAAGTTGGCCTAGATACTTATGGTGGAGGAAAAAAAGTGTAGGCCCAAATAGTTGATATTTTGAGAAAAATTGCTGTCAACCAAAAATGAAATATCTTTTGATACTCAAAAAGGCGTAGAGAGCATAATTTACAAAATGAAAACAAAAAACTGCCATGGTAGATTACCAAAAAAATAGTTACATGGCAACAAGGCCAAAGTAAATGTAAAAAAACAACAACAAAAAAACCGTGGTCCAAATTGCAGACAAAAGAAGATCATGCATGTCAAATATGCATATTAATTAGAAAAGACATACAAGGATTTTGCCATGCCATATATTTTCATTTGCAAAAACACATAAAAATCACACATAGGAACTTGGCATGATCCAAATAAATAAATAATATTGCCATGCTCTCAATAATTAAAAATTCCATGCTCTTATAATAATAAAGTTGCTATCTTGTTAGTAATAAAATTGCCAAGTGCAAAAGTAGAAAAATAAATTCCAAAATTGGCATGAAAATAATTGATAAAAATTTCCAAAGCTTGCCATGGTAGCATTGCAAAAAAGACTAAATTCGCCATGTTTGGAAGTAAAAAATGTTATAAATTTGATTTTGTTTTCTAAATTTTCCCATGTGTACAAAACAAACTTGTCATGTGAAAATTTAGAAAAAATGTTTAAAATTTGCCAGGTGGCAAGTTAAAAATATGATAAATCTGCCATTCTTTTTTTGAAAAATTGCCATGTATCGAAAACCATAATTTACATATTTTTACCACCCTGTAAAAGTAAAAATATAATAAAAGGAGGATCTGGGATTCAATCACGGGCCTCCCACTTGAAGGCTTTACACAGTAGCCAATCGGGTGGGCGGCTCTGCTTGGTTAGGAAAGCATACGCGCAGCTTTTATGCCCTTCTTACAAGTTTCAAACGTGATGTGGCAAGGCATCTTGTGCTAAGATCCGTGCATGTGATGTGGTGGCAGGGTAGAGCGTTCGCGGAACTTGCTACAAATATGACGTTCCGCAATAGTATATTATCTCCCAAAATAAAAGGTAACATAGGATTTTGTGGGTCATTATACAAAATGTACTGTATTATGTAGACTTAACATGGTTTTATAGTACGATTACTTCATATTTATTTTCGGATGGTTATTTAGGAGCCTTGTATAAGCTGAACGTGTAGAGTTTATCGTAAACTAAGGACCTGTTCGGCAACCCTCTAGCCCCCTCAGATCCTCAACTCCTCAGCTCAACTCCTCCGCCCAACTCCTCGTTGAAAAAACCCAGAGTTCAGAAACGTTTGGCAGCACAGCTTCGCGATCGGGAGCACTGGCGTGGGCTGGCAGCTGATTCGGCTTTGATCTGGCCCAGCTCGAGTGATAAGCTGCAGCGAACCGGTACGCTTGATCACTTGGCGGTGGCATGCAGCTGTAATTCCAGTCAACTCTCGCTCCTTTGATTTTTGAGAGCAGCAGATGTCTAGCTCCTCAGCTCCTCGTAAAATACAGTACGCTTCGCTCCCAGCTCTTTTTTCTTTAACTCCGGGAGTTAACCCGTTCGGCACAGCTCCAAAGCTGGAGTTGATGGAGTTGGGAGCTGGAGAGCAACCGAACAGGCTCTAAACACTGTTATCATTCGCAAAAAATAACTAAACACTGTTATTACTTACTCCCTCCGTTCCAAAATAGATGACTCAACTTTGTACTAACTCTAGTATAAAGTTGAGTCATCTATTTTGGAACGGAGGGAGTACTTATTAGGTTGACAATGTATTGGCATAAGCAATGCGCATGTCTGTTGCTTCCATGTGAGTCCACCAAACGGTAGGAATTCTTCTTGGCAAAAGTAGTCCAACTCTGAAAAGCAAATCAGTCGTGTCCGACGTAGCTTTGCAGATCAAAAGCTAGCACCATCCATGTCGCCCTAATCGTATAGTATCAAGCAGCACGAATCGTAAAGCTATAGCCTCCAGATCTTGCTGGAAGGCTCGAGAGCCCAGCCGATCCGTCCAGAACCTTCTAAACCCGTTTCCCCATCCCCTCCCCCAAGAAAGCTCCCCGCTCCCGGTTTACAAAACCCCCTCCATTTCCCACCCCGTCTCGCTCACCACAAGAATCCAAAATCATCACGCAGAAGAGAGAGAGAGAGGGGGGGAAAGGAGAGAGAAAGAGAAAGAAGAGAGAGAGAGAGAGAGAGAGAGACCATGGCTTCCGCCGTCGCTTGCAAGGCCGCCGCGCCGGCCGGCCTCCTCAAGTCCGGTGCTCCCGTGGCCTTCTGCGCGCCCCACTCCCCCGCCGTCAACGCCGCCCGCCGCCCGTACAACACCCAGGTCAAGGAGGTCAACCGCTACGACGACGACGACGACGACTACAGCGGCCGCGACCTCGTCATCCCCAGCTTCTTCTCGCAGGGTATGCATCCGTTCCGTTCCCCACCTGTGGCGCCCCGTTTCTTTGCGTTCGTTCTCAAGTCTCAACATCGCGAGTCAAATCAACCTTCTGATGAGCTTTTGCCGTCCTTGATGTTGATTCTGCAGACGTGCTCGACCCGCTCGGCGCGCCGACCAGCATGGCCCGTCTGCTGTCTATGATGGAGGACGTTGCAACTCAGACCGGCCTCTCCTCCACTGCCGGGGCGTCGCGGCTCGGACGCTGGGTGGCCAAGGAGGACGACGACGCGGTGTACCTCAAGGTGCCGATGCCCGGGCTGACCAAGGAGCACGTGACGGTGCGCGCGGACAAGAACATCCTGGTGATCAAGGGCGAGGGCGAGAAGCAGCCCTGGGACGGCGACGACGACTCCGCGGTGCCGAGGTAGAACCGCCACATCGAGATGCCCGCTGACGCGTACAAGTTGGACAAGATCAAGGCCGAGATGAAGAATGGCGTGCTCTGGGTGACCCTGCTCAAGGTGAAGGAGGACGAGCGCAAGGACGTGTTCCATGTCAAGGTCGAGTAGGTAGTGGTAGTGGTAGTGCTCATGCAGGATGGCCGGCGCGAGAGTGTGAGAGACGCCTTGTTGATCTGGTCATGTTTGGTGTCTTTCTTCCTTGTTTTGCTTCATTGATCGTCTTGGATCGAGTTGGTAGTGGTCTGGTGGTGAAGTTGGTCGCGAAGCCTGTTATTTTCCTCTAGTTTGGCATATGACGAACTTACATTGGTGGTGAAATTGGTCATGAAATTCTGTTGATTTCCTCAATTTGGCATATGATGAACTGATTTGGTAGTGAATTTGGTCATGAAAGCTTGTTGATCTCCTTAAGTGTGGCGTGCTGGACTAATTTAGTGGTAAAATTGGTCGTGAACTTTGTTGATTGTCTCAAATTTGGCCTGATGAGCTGCATTGATTATCTTAAGCTAGTCTCGCCTGTCTATCCTTTCTCGTTCTTGATCTGTATTGCTTTAAGCTTTCTGTAAAAAGCTGGGATTCATGCCTACTCTCTGAGAAATTGATTGAACTCCTCGAGTTTGACGTCATGGAGTTGGTGAACGGGCAGTTACTGATTGATGATTTTTGCTTGCTTTTCCGTCATGGAGTCTGTTAATTTTTGCTTGCTTTTTCCTTGAGTTTAACTTCTTGTAAGAACTGTAAATATTCCAGTTTGTAGTTGTCACATGAGATAGGCGTTAGTTTCTTTATCTGCTGCTTCGTTGATTTTCTCAAGTTTAATGTGATTAACTGATTTTTTATGTGGTTAACTGATTTGTTGGTTCCCTGAATGTTTTGTGTTTCTCCTCTGTGTTTACTTCTCGTAAGAACAGTAACCCGTTTCAGTATGTAGTTGTAGCGTTATCGTGCGAACAGCCATATGGGAGTTGCGGTTCCCTGAATGTTTTGTTTATCTCATGCTTTGTGATTTTACTTTACTTTCTGTTTTATGCTTTGTGATTTTCTAGCTGACAAGTTGACCAGAATTGCGGTATGCAGGATGAAAAGGCAACTACTCAATGCACACAAAGAAAACTTCTGTTCCAATAATTGGTTTTCAGTTTTACCCCAAAAATGTTTTCGGGATGCTTAGTTTTGCCTTTCTTCTATTAAATCATTGCGCTTTGGTCGTGTGCGTGAGATACATTCTAAGGTTTTTCTCTTGGGTAGTCATTGCATGGGCCTTATGAACATGTCACAAGTGGGATCCACCTAAAAGGAAAAAAAAGAAGGAAAAAAGGTGAATAAATTGTCGCTCACCGTCCACTTGATCCTCTTTCGTCCTCCTTTCGGCTAGCACGGTGAGCTCGTCGCCTCTGCCATGGCCCTCCTTTCTACCTCCACACTGCCCACTTGTCTCGAAGTCTATGCTCGACCCTATAGTCCAAACGAGTGTCGACAACCACATAATCTGACGACTCTTCATTCGGCCCATGAGGAGGTGCAACGACAACACGGAGCAAGCCCCATCCAGAGTCACCCTGCGGTAGCTTGCCTAGGCGATGAGTCCAGACATGGAGGATAGCTCGTGACTCCATCAACAAGAAGAGAAGGGAGAGGTGTGTGTTACTGGTCTACCTTCTTTGTCGCTGCCGCTACAAAATGAAAGAAGATTTTACTAGCACCTTGAGTTACCTCAACATCCTAACCTAAACAGCAACGGTAATATGCTTCATGGCCAATCATGGTACAAATGCGAGCGGGGCCTCCTCTCAACATTCACGAAGGCTATTAACTTGAACATAAGAACAATATATGTGATCACTTAATGGAAATTAATTCTTATCGCGTTCATCCATATTCCCGAGAATAAGTACAACTACTCAAACATAATGGCGGGAAACATAGAGGAGAGGGTCAAGTTACAAGCCGACATCGGGCCTGGGAAGAGAGAAGGCATGGCGTCGCTGGTGGAGATGATGGTGACGAAGGCAACGTCGATGGAGATGGCGGTGATGGAGGCGGCACGGTGGAGATGGCACTGGCCTAAAGGCCGGTGCGTGTGGTGGCAGAGGCTCCCCTTCTTACTTCTTGTATTCACCCTTGTTATTCTATCGAGGTCGGTTTGGAGTAGCAATGGAGGTGTTGTGATTTGATCTTGGATGAATGAGGGCCTCATGCCAACAGCTAGGGTTGAAGGTATATATAAGGGGTTTCTTCGGTTATCCTCCGTAGATGTGAGTTCCTCCTCCTTCATCCAAGGGCTGTAGGGGAGCCAAATCCTCTTTCAAAACTGTAACACCGTTGTAATTAAGCTACAATGATTTCCCTCTAATTATGCCAAGTCATCATTGTTTTGCAAAGCTTAATTGACACTTGTCCTAAATAACAAACAAATTCAAATTCAAATTATTGCAAGGAAAAAATATTATTTCTTCAAATAGAGAAACAAAAATGTCGATAATATTACAAATAATCCCTAAATAATTATGTTAAGGAAAACAAAACCACCCAATTACCCAAATTTACCCTAGCATCGATTAAACAGGGCCAACAAAAACTATTTAAGCCAATTAAATATATGAAAAATTAAACGTTTGCAAATGACCTGAAACTTTGTGTGCCTTCTCAAAATGTTGCATTGTAATTAGATGACAAGTTTCATAGTATTTAACTAAATGCATTTAGTGGCTTAACTAAATGTAAAACAGAAAAGAAAACAGAAAAAAGAAAAAGGAAAGGAAATAACCTACTGCACTAGTAGGCCTTGAGTGCACACCACCCCCCTTCTTCCTCCTGTTCACCGAGGTTCGTTGGACGCGTCCGCGGTGTCCTGGGCACCGATAGCCACGTGGCAGCCATCCACAGTCTCCCCGCGTGGATAACGTCATCCCCGTAACCGTTGGTCATGCTGGGCGTTCGGGTTTACCCAAAATTCGGGTCAGTTATATCGGTTTATAAGATTTTGGGTTTTCAAAATCAATACCCGAAATTTGTCTAATTGTTTTATACCTGACAATTCGGGTATCCGCAAAATCAGGTTCGGGTAATCCTGAATTGCCCGAAATAAATACAAGAACAGAAGAACCATGGTGCATCGCGACGCGAGGAGGCACAGTGTGCAGCGGCTGGAGTTTGGCTGGAGAAGGAAGTCGTCGGGCGAGGTGGACTACACCTACGGAGGAGGTGGAGCTTGCTTGCTGCAATCGCAAAGGACAACGGTTAGAGGCCAACCAACGCACGAGGTGCTCCCTGCAATGGTTGGTGTTGCAGCCGGGTGGTGTGTACACAGGTGCGTGGAGTCGGCACGTGGCTGGTCAAATATGGCGCGGAGTGGAGGCGTACGAGGGCAACTGCTGTCCGATCTAGTGCCCCGGTTTTTCGGGTTCAGGTAATTCGGGTTCGTGTTTTTTGGGTATCGGGTTTTATGCCCATCGTGACCCCCGGACAAACCCTAGGCCACTTCCTCCTCTCCTCTCTCCCCTCTCTCTCGATCTCGAGCCCTCCTGCCATCGTCGTCGCCATGGCTGAGGTCGTTATTGTGGCCACCGTCGTCCCCGCACCCTAGATCCTTGTTTGCGAGCTGCGACGTCATCCCCTACACCCTCTACATTGCCGACTTTGAGCTCTACACCACCACATCAACCAGATCGAGCTCTTCTCCTACGTTTGGTCGTCATAGTGAACAACTTCAACCCGTCACCGTTTGCTGCTCTGAAACCCCCAACAAGCAACCGTGACCTCCCTCGATGAGCGTCGAGTCTTCCACTCTGTTTCCCCCTTGATTCGTTGTCACTAGTCGCCGTTGCCATGCAGTCGTCACTTCTGTCCTTCTCAAAGTTGTATGACCATGCAGTCGTGCTCAGCGCACCTCCAGGAAGCCGAAGCCCCCTCTAGATCATCATCCCCTGCCTCCTAGTGCCGAACCTGAGCTTGCCCATGCTCCGACCGCCGCCTCTGCTCGACGCCGGTGTCGTTGCAGACCACCCCAGCCACCGTTGTTTGCTCTGTTGGACGCGCGCGAGCACCAGCGTTCAAACCCGCCTAGCCACGCTCCAAATGGTGGCCCATATCAAATTTCTGATGAAGTTCGGTGCTCGTCGCCAAAATTTTGGTCGCCAGGGCGCGCATCGCCGCCTTTGAACTCCGGCTGGGCCACTGACATGCGGGCTCGGGCCATTATATTAGGCACTAATCCAGCCACTAACATCCACTGACTTATGGCCCCACAACTATACAACTTAATTAACCCCTGAGACACTGACAATAGGGCTCCACCTCCCTATTTAATAACCTAAACACTATTAAAATAAGTAGTCATTGACCAGTGGGACCCGCTGGTCAAGTTTGACCAGTAATAGTCAAACTATTTTTTTGTTGACTGGGCTTCTGACTCAGCTTAGTGGACCCACTTGTCAGCCTCTCTAGCACTCAGCTGGGTGCACTTTCTGGGTACACTTAGCAATTTGTCCAATTATTATTGTGAATTAAAATAAATACTAAAATTCTAGAAATTCAATTAAACTTTGCAAACTCATAGAAAATTATCTATAACCGAGATGAAAATAATTTATACATGAAAACTGATCAAAAAAATAAAATAAGGAATCTAAATATGCCATTTGCAGGCATGACAAACCACTCTAATATGATGAATCATGATATTTTGCATCCAGATCAATACATGAATAGTGTTTAAATTTGGGGAATATTTCCCCACTTCAATTAAAATGTCTAATAATGCATGAGAGCACATCATCATCACATTTTTCCATGACATGCATTTTGTGCTGCATTTCATTGCTGCTATTTATTTTGTTCCTGCACCTGCTTCTTCTAGGCAAGCAAACCCCCTTGATCAATCTGATATCGCCAATTCTTTCTCTCTACTTCCTGTATTAGGTATTGTCACCACTATTGTGTAGTAGATCCTACTAAGATGCATAGCC